TTGCCCATTTCACACAAAATTGCAGTCAAAAATGTGCTTAACACCATGAATCTTGAAGCAACAATTTTTTGTGCTAACAGTTTTTTTATGTGGTCCCTGCTGTGAGTTTGTTGTCATGACATTTTACTGCAATAGGCATTCAGAATGTTCCCTCTATGCAATTAACGTACTTAGTAGAAGAGTTGAGTGAAACATGTCCTGAGAAGGATTCATTATGAAAATGGTGACACAAAGGTGTTGTTGGGGATTTTCCCTAACGAATAGTTTTTATGAGTAAGCTTCTGGAGAATTAATTACTCCATGATTGACCTTTTAAACTTTATGAATCTAAAATCATGTCAGAGCGTGAACCACATTCTGCTACCACTTTTTGTTTGGGATTTCTCCACACAAATAGTTTTTATGGGTAAGCCCCTGAAGAATTAACCCTTGGACAGCAGAGGGTTCTTTCCCATCATTGGCCAAAATTGGATTATTTTTGTATGCTGGGGCATTTTCAGTTTTCTGAAGGTCAGAAAAGCCATTCCATGTGGGCTGAGGCAAAGTTGGGATTAATCCGAGAAAAGCCTGTTGCTTAACATAGCATTTTTCTTATCTTCCTGCAACATTTTCCTGTGCAAAAAGAAAAAATAAACATTGAGGTTTTTTCCAACTTTGTCCTCAGCTCCCTGTTGTCATTTTTTTTTCTTTTCTTATTCCCTGAGGTGAAACAAAATTTTGCAAAAATAGTCCAACTTTGCCACTCCTGGGTTAATTACCGCATGATTGTTCTTTTTAACTTTATGGATGTAAAATCATGTCAGAGCAGGAACCATACTCTGCTGCCATTTTTTATGGATATATCCCAACAAATAGTTTTTATGAGTAAGCTTCTGAAGAATTATAATTGCTACCTGATTGTCCTGTGTGATCATTTCTTTTATTTTCCAGTGTGCTGCAATGCTCTCTATTGTTGGGAACCTTTGCTGCCCAGTTTTGATGGTTCTTTTTCAGTGATTTATTTTTTGAAAGATGATTTTTCAAATGTCCCTGTGTCTTTTCCTTGACTAGTTTTGAATGGAGTGCAACGAAAACGCGGAACAAACGCCGCCGGCGGAAGAACTTCCGGTTCCCGCCGCTTCGGAACCATGACTGGGGGAGATTCCGAAAACTCCTTCAGTTTGGAATCCGACTCTGACTTGGATTTCGAAGCAGAACTGCAAGAAAACGCGGGGAACGGGGGTCCACCTGGGATGCCTCGCAAAAACGGCAAACCTTCTGTCATTGCTGGCACTGATGTCGGTGACATTGGCGACGACGAAGTGGCAGCTGAAGGTGACGTGGTCACGAGTGCCATCGCTGGTTCGACGGTTGTCATGCCAGCTACTTCCGTGCCACCGAGCAGAGGCAATGATGGCTTGGAATCCTCAGTTCCTGTGCAGATTGACGACGATGACGATGATGATTTTTGATTTAATCTCAGTGTCTACTTTTTGCGAATTTTTGGGGGCAACACACACACATGGCAGCTATGTACATATTTATGTGTGATTCAATTCGAAATATATACACCTAATTTAAAAATGTATGAGCCTGAGGATAGCTTCAGGATGAGGTGGACAGTTTTTGATATTTTCTTGTTGAAACTGCCTCCTTGTTATAGAGATTTGACCATCTTAACATTTTGGCAACAGAAGCCAACTTGAATTATTACTACAGTTCTGTACAACGACATCACCAAAATTTGAACTTATTTACTTGATTACCATGTGCACCTTATTCTTCAAAATTGAGAGGAAAAGGGAGGGTGTGTGTTATGGGTGTGCATAAAATGTTTGACACATTTTAGAGGTTCAGGTACTTCTCATACTTGATTCAAAGAGGACATTTTGAATTTTGAGAAAGCTTTTAATAGAAAAAATATGAAAATTATTTGAATTCAGGTTAAATTGATGTCTTAATTCCAATTCTGCTATCTTATTTTTGAAATATTGCAGCTTTTAAGTCACTAAAACTAAGGCATGCATCTTACACAGCTAGGGATAAGATTGTATCAAAATCTGATATTGAAAAAGCTGGATGCTTTATTGAAGGGCATGTGGTAATCAATTAAATATGGTCTTTGTGCCAATCTATTGTAATCTAATCAGTTATGCAGGTGGACTCTCTACAAAAATCTATTGTCTATAATGATTTTTTTCATCGATTTTTTTTACCACAGGGTTCTCTCAACCAAACAATTATGGAGGTTCTCTGCAATAAAATTATCTCTACATCATATATTTTTTTCTGGTCCTTTTAACCCCTGGGCTGCAGAGTCAGAATATTTTTGCAAAATGTTGTGCCCATGAGCATGATAAAAATGTATTCTTGTAACAAGATCCAACGTTGATGACTGATGAATTTGAAAAGTCCAATATATATTTTTTTAATTCTGCACAAAACTTTGCCTGCAATTTAAAAAAATCCTCACTGGGTGGCATGTTCCTGACTTCCAGTAAAAAATAGGAATAGCATATTGGAGATTTCTCAAAACTACAGGATATTTTCCAACTGCATTTTTTTCAACTTGGTTCTTCCAAACCCATGGGCATTTAAGTGATCTTTGATCTAACTGAAATATGCATCCCCTTTTTGAAAATTTCTGACTTTTCAGCCCCATGGAAAGGATCCCTCCATCGTCTAAGCCAAGGGTTAATTATGTTCTGGAGAGAATCTACCTGTGCTACCTGTAGCCTTTGAATTGACTGATTATAAGAGTAACAGGTTTGCATTACTGCTGGTTTACATTGCTTGAAGCAGTTTCAACAGGGAAGAATTGTGCTATATTACTGCATATATAAAAAATATTTTTCATTCATTTCCCAAGGGCAAATGCTAATTCTGATGCTTTTATCTTTATTGTGTTTTGCTCTCATCATCAGCAATGATCATATAGCTTTACTGCGCTCATCCAGAGTTTTGGCACAGATCTGCCAAGACACTTTGGATCACGCCTCGCGGAAAATTCATTGAGCAAAAAAAAAATGCGTTTATGCGGCTGTTATTCCCTGGTGTGTGTGGTTCAATCCAGCAAATTCAGGAGTTGACACGGCGTTTTTCGGAAAGTGGCGAAGGAAAAAAAAAAAAAAAGCACATACGCATGTTGCAACCAATGAGAAATGGGCCCCGTAGTCGGCCGGTCGCCGATGCCATCAGCTGCGATTTATTATGCGTTGATGTGGCTGATGATGGCTGCTGTGGGCGAATGTGATCAGCAGAGCAGCTTCGCCAAGTATTGGAGTCATTTGATTTCAACGCCATCTGGTGACGGCATCCTGTTGTCGCCGGGGTTGAATAATGAGGTCCGGGCCGATTTCGGCAATCGTGTCGTGCGCCATCATGAGGTGGAAGATGAAGAATTCCATCTTCATGAACACATGGACCCTTGCGTAGCTGGTCCTTGTGAACATGGAGTGTGCAGAAAGTCTGTGGACAGGTTAGTTGTGCTGAAGATTGATGGATCAATTTGTAACCCAGAAACTGATTTCCTTCTTTATTCTTTTTCCTCTCCTTATTTGGGTTGAAATCTCTTTTACAAGGTTTTTGGTTCCTTGCAGCTGTTCCCTCTTGTTTTGGTTCCCCTCCCTTGCGTCACCCCGCATTAATGCACGATGCCCGTTTATGTTTGTTTCCTCAATAGAATCAGCTATTTGTCAATAATGACATACAACCCTCCTCTTTCTGAAGAACTTGCCAATTTAGGAAGAACCCTCTTGTTGAAGGAGCAAGTGTATTTATTAAATATATTCATATACATATATACCTGGATGTATATATATTCATTAGTGTTCAAGGAACCCACAGTTCCTCAATCCAGGGGAATATCTTGCCTATATACTTTGTGTTGCCAGAAGGTATATATATACCCTGGTTAATGTATGTTTTCTCAGCATTAATCTAGAGTTGTTCAAGGTTATTTCTCAGAGAGACTTGCATAATGATTTAGCAAGACTCTCTTAATATCTCCATATCTCTATATTTTGTGTGATTGATTTTGGAATATTTGTGACTTGAATATATATTGAAGATATATATTTTATTTGAACTCGTATTTTATTTATCTTGGTCTATGGACAACAAATTAAAAAATAATAAATTTATGTAGTGATGATTGTTGGGGATTTGTTCCCCAAAAATGAAAGTTTCATAAATGGAATGCCGCATTAGTCAGCCTGAATCTGTCTGGGAGACTCTTTGTATAGAGGCTCCAAAAAATTATAATTATTCTTCTCCCAAGAGAATCAGCATCTTCTTCGACCCCTGGGTAATGAAGGGTTCCTGGGCATACTGATGCAAAGGCAGGAAAAATCCTAACGTTAATTTTGTATTTTTTTTTCTTTGCGCGCTTTTCAATCCAATTTCAGTTTTTTCAACAAAAAAAGCGAAATGATTATATTTCGATATTTTTAATTCGAATGGGATTTAGCTCAAATGGTTATGAGTGCTTTTGCGAAGATGGTTACACGGGATACAATTGCCAGACTGATTGGAATGAGTGCTGGAACGAGCCTTGCCTACATGGAGCAACTTGCTTTGATGCTATTGCTTATCCGAATTGCACCTGCACCGAAGGATTCACTGGTGAGGAAATTCTCGGTGCTTTCTTTTCAAAGCGTAATCAATGATAAATTTTTTTGCTTCCGTTGCAGGAATGTTTTGCGAGCACGAAATTTTGGCGTGCGATTCGTCTCCATGTCTGAATAACGGCACGTGTTGGAGCATGGGATTGACGAATTACACGTGCGAATGTCTTCCTGGATACGAAGGTGAGTGTTGTGCATAAACTGATCATGTTTTTGTTGGTGAAGCGCAGTTTTTTTTTTTTGCAGGTTATTCGTGTGAGATCGATGTAAACGTATGCAACGTTACCCTGTGTCACAATGGTGGAAACTGTACCGAAAAAGCTGGGGAGGATTTTTTCTGCTTTTGTTTCTCTGGTGAGTCACACATTTTGGGACAATGTTTGAAGAATTATTGAATATGTACCTAATTTCAATTCTGTTGGTTAATAGATTCAAAGTATACTATTATTTACATGCGTGAAAATGAGAGACAGGATAAAGTTTGAGTTTGGTGTTTCATAATAAATTGTCCATTCTGGTAAATATTGGATTTATTGAGGACAGATGTCGCCTCAATATAAGTTATTGTCAAGCTGGATTGAAAGAGTATATAAGAGCCTAAATAAAATACAATAATGATCTTAGGACAGGGATCGGAATTCCTTGGTTAAGAATAAAGTGTATGTCATGCAGAATAATAACTACTCAGCAAACTCTTGGTTCAACTACTGGATTAAACTGAAATAATTATTCTGTATGATATTCTTCTCTGCTCTTGACTAGCTCAACATTTAATAATTACCCTTCATAACGTTTTATCATTTGATTTTGAGGTAGAGGATGCAACTCTAGAAAATACTGAGAAAATACATCAGTAATGGCATGCTTGCCTAACAGGATTAAAGTGTTTTTCTTGAATCAAACTTGAATTTCTATCAATCTATGGTGGACTCTTCCTACAATGATCTTGTCTACAATTAATTTCTCTGTAAGATGAATTTTTTGTGATCACAGTTTAGAGTATTATTTCCCCATGTTATTGAAGTTCTCTACAAATGATTTTTTCTGATATTGCTTAATTGCTTAATTTATTTTTTGTTTAATTGAGGATACATTGAATGAAGATTGAATTTTATAATTTTCAATATAAACCGTATTCAGAATCGATAAAGCTGAGAATCTGTATTTTTATTGCCTAAACGCAGCCGCGCAGCAATTTGACAAATTGTTAAAAATATTATTTGTACTTAATTTTTGCTTCAAAATCCAATTCCTATTTTCTTGCTGTGTAAACGTTGTTTAAATAAAGTTTAGTTGGCTTGAAGTACCATAAATGATGCAGTTTCTTCAGCATTGAATTCATGATAGGGCAGCAGTTTAAAATCTTAAAATTGGGTAAAACAATTTATTCTTTGGTTCATCACCGTGAAATATTGAATACGGGGTGAAATTGATGAACGTTTATACCCAGTGTCACGTAAAATGAATGTTTGTTTTTTTTGTGGTGAGGTTCGTGGCTCATTTTCTGGAGGTCAAAATCAAATTTGTTACACCGGATGACCGGAAGTAGAAAGAAAACTAGCACTTTTTCTCTTACTTTCCGAAACGACGTGACCGAAGTAAAGGTGCTGGAATCAGCAGGTGGTTTCAGTGGATCGAAGTTCATGTTTTGTTGAATCGATGCGTTTTAGCTTCTATATATAATGTACTATGCGAGAATCTTTCCTTTGCATGCCTTTGGCAACACTAAACCTTTTTTCCGGTTTAATTTCTTACTTTCGTTGTCGTTAGCATATATGGAAATGGGGTTCCGGGGGAAACGATAAAAAGTTTGAATCTTCTTTCCATCTCGGAAGTCCGTTTCATTTCTCATCGAATCCCAATCTCATTATTGATCGATTTTATCACATGTTATCCTAGATTCCTTTATAATGTATATGGCAGTTCATGGGGTTGTCAAAAAATTACCCATGTACAGTCAAGCCCCGCACAACAGGCTTAATTCTTGCACCAGAAAAGTGCCTGTTTTGTGAAAAGTCTGTTATGCGAATTGAATTACTAAAAATTAAAAAATTTCAATTCCTACTCTCATGTTTAATTTGAAACCAACAGAAGTCTGTTTGGCAGATTTTGTCCATTAGGCAGAAGGAAAAACTGCCTCCAGAAGCAGTCTGTTGAGTGAAAATCACTTTGGCAGGAGAGGTCCATTCAGCAAGGGTTAATTGCAATTTGAGGATTCATACAGTATAACTGAATATATTTGTGTCACTGTCAGTATCTGGAAAAATGATTCAAGTTCACTCAGAAAACTGATGATCTGATGATGAAACTAATAATGAAAAATACAACAGCATCTTTCAAGTGTTTCTGAGGTTATTTTATTTTTTTTATTCGGTTCTATACTAATTTTTGCTTCCATGTACAATTGAACCTCAAAACCCCCACCTCTTTAATTTGAATACCGCTGTATGTTGAATTTTTTCAAGTTCCTGTCTGAATTCCCTCAGAAAAATACATTAAAATCCTCCCTAACTTCAAGAAATTTCTCTTCAAATATCCATAACTCGCATTTTGGGGGATATTTTGGATATTATTTCATTGTCAACTTACATTGAACATTTTATTTGCTTTGAAAAGAAGTAAAAGACTATTTGGGGATGTACACCTTTGCTTCAAATTTCAGCAAATACTGTCAACTCATTCAACAATCAATTCAAGGCCTAGAATAGCACAAATTGTCAAAAATAAATTAAGGGGCTGTTTAAAAATACAGTCAACCCCCGTCTAATGGACTTGATTTGTGCAAGGGGCAAGTCTGTTAGACGAAAAATCCTTTACACAAATTAAATTACATAAAAATTAAAAATTTCAATTTTCAACACTAATTTCAAACCAAAAGAAGTCTGTTTGGCGGATTTTGTCCGTTGGGCGGGAGGAAAAACTGATTGCAGAGCTGGTCTGTTTGGCGAAAATCCCTTACACGGGAGGTCTGTTAGGCGGGGGCCACTGTACAAGTTTCAGGAATTAGCAAAGATTTTGCAAATGTCCTCAGGAATCTTGTAGGACCAGAGTTGACCTCAAGTTCCCATGGATATTCCTGATTCTAATTTATCTGAACTTCTAGGATTCTTCCTTTAAAATCTGCAGAAGTCCACAAGGATGAAATCCTCTTCTTTCTTCCTTTTCCTGAGATATAATGGTCAGTTCTGAGACTTCTGACCACTGTACAATAGCATTAAATCTCAAAATTGTGTTCAGAGCAGACCTTGCAAGTGTCTACTGATTGATGTGTCTGATTTTTTTATTCTAATTTTTGACTGACAGCTTCTTGTTGCCTAAAATCTTCTTTGAAATATTTGTGGTTTTCACTTGAAAAATATAAGAACTTTAAACTAGGGCTTTGCCCCAGCTTTAGCCCTGCTGATTAAATTGCTTTATTTCCAAAAACCCAAATAAGTTCATCTCACTCTTTCTTTTAGGAACTGTATTTCTGACACAAATTTAAATTTCCAGTGATTCTTCAATAATTTTGCTCCATCAATAATGCTCATTTTTCATTGTATTCATGGAGAAATCAATCCAGAAATAACCCTACTTGTGTCACATCATTTAAAAGAGGCTATTTTATCATAGTAATGTCAGTACCATTTTTAACAACCCCTTGTTTAAAGTAAAGTACAGTTTAATTTTGCTACAAGGAAGGTAAAAAAAAATAATTGCCCAAAATAAAATTGTTTTCAGGTCACTGATGCCTGATAATAGCCATGATATTGAATTTGTTGCTTTATAACGATTTTTTGCTTACAACGAAGCCGATTTACTGTCTGGGGTGCATTACGAGATTTCTATACTGTATACGATTTTGTAAATTTCGAACTCTAATTTACTGGCTCATGAAAAATACCTTATTCAGGGACTACAAGAGAAACGGAACGAATTAAAAATCCAAGCAGTTTTATAATCCATTTGAAAGATGAACCTCAAAACAAAATCATTTTTTCGGCTTTTAGAATATACTCGTGTCTGAAGAGAAAGCCATGCAGTATTTCACTCTTTGTTATCCGAATTTCAATATATGAAACAGTTCCACGAAAAGTTTGTTGCGTGCTTTCCTAATCTCTCGATCGACTGTCCAAAAATCACCGCAAGTACCGTCCTTTGTTCTGTATATACACACACACACGGTTATTTCAAGTACCAAGAAATTGCGTGCGTTCGGGAAACGAAAAAAAAATCTGTGGTATTCGAGCACGAAGGGGTTTTTTTTTGGTGCTGTATATTTGCACGGCCGAGCGGAATATTAAAATCCTCCCTAACTTCAAGAAATTTCTCTTCAAATATCCATAACTCGCATTTTGGGGGATATTTTGGATATTATTTCATTGTCAACTTACATTGAACATTTTATTTGCTTTGAAAAGAAGTATAAGACTATTTGGGGATGTACACCTTTGCTTCAAATTTCAGCAAATACTGTCAACTCATTCAACAATCAATTAAAGGCCTAGAATGGCACAAATTGTCAAAAATAAATTAAGGGGCTGTTTAAAAATACAAGTTTCAGGATTTAGCAAAGATTTTGCAAATGTCCTCAGGAATCTTATAGGACCAGAGTTGACCTCAAGTTCCCATGGATATTCCTGATTCTAATTTATCTGAACTTCTAGGATTCTTCCTTTGAAATCTGCAGAAGTCCACAAGCATGAAATCCTCTTCTTTCTTTCTTTTCCTGAGTCAGTTCTGAAACTTCTGACCACTCCAAAAAAACATTCAATCTCAAAATTTTGACCATAGAGCAGACCTTGCAAGTGTCTACTGATTGATGTGTCTGATTTTTTTAATTCTAATTTTTGACTGACAGCTTCTTGTTGCCTAAAATCTTCTTTGAAATATTTGTGGTTTTCACTTGAAAAATATAAGAACTTTAAACTAGGGCTTTGTCCCAGCTGTAGCCCGGTTGATTACATTATTTCATTTCCAAAAACCCAAATAAGTTCATCTCACTCTTTCTTGTAGGAACTGTATTTCTGACACAAATTTAAATTTCCAGTGATTCTTCAATAATTTTGCTCCATCAATAATGCTCATTTTTCATTCTATTCATGGAAAAATCAATCCAGAAATAACCCTACTTGTGTCACATCATTTAAAAGAGGCTATTGTATCAAAGTAAGGTCAATCCAATTTTTAAAACCCCCTTGTTTAAAGTAAAAAAACAGTTTAATTTTGCTACAAGAAAGTTTCAAAAAATAATTGCCCAAAATAAAATTGCTTTCAGTTCACTGATGTCTGATAATAGCCATGATGTTGAATTTGTTGCTTTATAACGATTTTTTGCTTACAACGAAGCCGATTTACTGTCTGGGGTGCATTACGAGATTTCTATACTGTATAAGATTTTGTAAATTTCGAACTCTAATTTACTAGCTCATGAAAAATACCTTATTCAGGGACTACAAGAGAAACGGAACGAATTAAAAATCCAAGCAGTTTTATAATCCATCTGAAAGATAAACCTAAAAGCAAAATCATTTTTGAGGCTTTTAGAATATTGTACTCGTGTCTAAAGAGAAAGCCATGCAATATTTCACTCTTTGTTATCCGAATTTCAATATATGAAACAGTTCCACGAAAAGTTTGTTGCGTGCTTTCCTAATCTCTCGATCGACTGTCCAAAAATCACCGCAAGTACCGTCCTTTGTTCTGTGTATATACACACACACACACGGTTATTTCAAGTACCAAGAAATTGCGTGCGTTCGGGAAACGAAAAAAAAATCTGTGGTATTCGAGCACGAAGGGGTTTTTTTTTGGTGCTGTATATTTGCACGGCCGAGCGGAACCCGGAAGTAATTTTATCCGGAAAAAGTCTCGACTGTTTTTTTATGTCGCCACCAGCAAAGAGTGGATTGATGCGTTTGTTGAATCGATATTTGCCTGCATGTTGGTGGGTCTTGAGTCTTGACACTCTCCTGTTTCTGCTACTGGCTGCCTCGTAATGCAGAACAAAGGGTTCGCTAATTTTCTCTCTCACGATTTATAGTTCCTTTGAATGAATGAGCGAAAAATAACCGAACTTGTCTTCAGTTTGTCAGCGAAGCAGACACTTCTTGGTTGTATCCACTAATATGTTTTTTCTCGCCAATGCACAGTGTTTGCAGCAAACTTAAGCATGGTAGGAACTGACATTTTGGCATACCGTACATGCACAGTAGTAATTGTGCAATGATTTGCTGCTGCTGGTGACGGGCACTGAGCGCCTGAACACATGCATATGGCGACATCTATCACAGGAGAATTAATTTCGGTTTTATGATCTTCGCTCTTTTTCACGCTCCTGTAGTGTCTTTCATTGACCGAATTCCCTCATGAAGTGTCATTCTTGAGCTCTACGTCTACATAAACCGCGTAGTTCTCACAGGTTTACACCCCCAGAGTGACATATATCACATATGACATCTACCTAAATTGAAATCCTGGCCTAATTCTGAACTTTTCTTCTTCAAACTTGAAATATACGAGCAATAATTGCTTCAAAATAATTTTATATTGCCTCATCTTGCTTAGCCTGACCTGATCATGTTTATAATGATAACAAGCTATTATAAGTGTTCCTTCCGCTGTCATAAATGTCCCCAAGACGTAGATGGGTTCCCTTAGAGTTTAACTTTCGAAATTTTCCTATTTAGTTTAACTACGAATTACTTACAGTACTATTAAATCACTTGTAATATAATCGCGTGGGAAAATGCGTTTCGCATGCAGAAAATTCCGCAAAAAAATACTGTAATTCTTGGACCCCCTGTACAATGTTTGAAATCTGCCACACGGAAAAAAAAACCCCAGATTCTAATACCAAATACTTTGTAATCCCTGACCTGATTGTGTCGACGATGACGACGACTAGCTATAGAGTCCTTCTGTGGTTGGACTGGGAAAACTTGCGAGGTCAACATCGATGATTGCCATCCAAATCCGTGTCATTTTGGCGGGGTTTGCCACGACCTGGTCGACGACTATTACTGCACGTGTCCGGAAAGTGAGTTTTAAAATTCGGTTATTGTATAACACAATTTAAATACTGCGATGTTTTCCCATTTGTTTGTGAAAAATGTTGCCAAAACGTCCATATCTGAAGACATTCCCTTTATGGTTTTCTTCAAGAGTTTCCAAGTCGCATTGTCCATATGTCCAGGTCCCACTGATCCATTCTGGCCAATATTCTCAAATCTCAGCTGCCCTGCTGTCAAATCCAATGAAGCACAGTCAACTCTAGTCTAACCGACTTAATTCTTGCAATGGACAAGTCTGTCAGACAAAAATTCCTTTTGACAATTCCAATCATATAAAGAATTAAAACTTTTAACTGTCAACTCTAATTTTAAACCAACAGAAGTCTGTTTGGCGGATTTTATCTGTTGGGTGGGAGGAAAAACTGCCTCCAAAGCTGGTCTGTTAGGTGAAAACCCCCTTACATTGAAGGTCTGTTATGCGGGGGGCCACTACAGTCAACCCCCGTCTAATGGACTTGATTTGTTCAAGGGACGAGTCTGTTAGACAAAAAGTCCTTTACCCGAATTCAATTACATAAATAATTAAAAATTTCAATTTTCAACACTAATTTCAAACTTAAAGAAGTCTGTTTGGCGGATTTTTGTTGGGTGGGATGAAAAACTGCCTCCAAAGCTGGTCTGTTAGGTGAAAAACCCTTACACGGAAGGTCTGTTATGCAGGGGGCCACTATATATCTATTTATAGAGATGATTGTGAAAGATTGGGACTGTGCGTGTAAATAATGAGTCAGCGTTTGCGAATTTGAAAATTGTTTTTTCGGTTGTTATTACCTGTTTTGTTTTTGCTTTTCATGATTCCAAAGATTTTTTATTTCATTTTCGGAAGAATGCGATGCATTTAATCGCATTTCTGTCGTCTATTTTTTTTTGCTGCCTATATAGTGCTGACGGGAAAGTCGTGCGAGTTCAACATGACGTTGTGCCAAAACAAAACGTGCTTGAATGGAGGAATGTGCTTATTTGACGATCTGCGAGGAGAGGAGATCTGTTTTTGCCAACCAGACTTCCACGGGTCCGATTGTGGCGAGCAGTACGACGAATGCCAACTTGGACACAAGTACTGTATACAGTATTAAACCTAAAATTCTGAAAATTGCAAAGGTTTTTAAATTTGTTTTCCCAATTGCTTGAGGCAAAATCAAACAAAGTTGTAAGAGGGATGGTTCATAATTTTTGAATTAGATCCAACAGATTTTCCACAATTTTAAATTTTTGCTTTTACCGGCATACCCTCATCATTTGGCAACACTTCATTGCTGTTCAACGCAGTCTCCGCCGAATTCAATGCACAGTGAGACCCCAAGATGCGGACTTAATGGGTGCAGCAAGAGTGTCCTTAAGTTGAGTCTCATTTTCCCTTAGACTTACATTATATACATTTTAATTGGTGTTTTATGGACAAATTACTCACCATAATTTCATGAAAATAAAAATTGCTTCCCAATTGAAATTGATTCAGTCAATATATTTCAACAGAATATGGACATTTTGGGAATTGAATACTGTACTGACGTACCTCTGTACAGTATATATAGAAATGCTGGCATTTTCTGTAAAAATAACATTCAAGTAAAAAAGAGAGAAGTAAGGCCCTTATGTATGCTGGAGGTAATTTTTTTGAATTAGCTAAATGTTTGGTAAATTGGTGAGAGAAATGCCCAAGAACTTTTCTTACACCTATTTTAGGGCTGGAAATATCTGTTTCTTGTAATTTTGCCTGAAACTTATTTGCAATTGTATCACAAAATGTTGCTATGTTGAGTCGCTGTCCTCATTTTGGGCTTTTTTATTATTAATTTTTCTTGGAAAATTAAGTGTCCCTATGTCAGTTGTCCGCATGTTAAGATGTTCAAATGTGGGAGTCTATCTGTATATTTGTATCATGCCATAAATCGAATGACCAAAATGGTGCTAAAAATGTATAATTGCTGAACCAGAAGTCACAGGCTGCAATGCACTTTTTGAATGATTTTTGAAGAAAATAAATGCTTGGAAAAATTCCCTGCTGAAAAAAAATCTGACTTCTTGCTGTTTTCAACGGTGAAGAATGACCTGAAAGGCATTGATTTTGAGGTCAGTGACAGCCTAATTTCCGTGGTGAAAAAGCTGCTTGGGCAACTAACACAATTATCAATTTTAGGCACTGTTTTGATCATACGATTTATTGCATGAAAAAAATGCAAATAAATCAGCGGAAACTGCGTTGTTTCCAAATGATGGGACTATGCGGATAAAAAAAAAATTTTTTCGAAACTTTTCAAAACTTATCATCCAACCCTCGTAAAGTCGTTTTTTTTTTTTTACTTTTTTCGGCAGGTGCATAAATGATGGACTTTGCGTTGATCTTGTGGATGGGTATCACTGCCTGTGCCCTGCAGATTTCACCGGAGAATTTTGCGAATGCCGGATTGGCACAGACCCTGAATGCCCCTTCACCGAAACTACAACTTCGATGATGATGACTTCTACTATCGCATCTTCCATCTTCGAGCTTACTACGGAGTATTCGTTCAATCGCTCAACCGAGTCTTTTCCAATTAGTGATACGACATCTGAAACTTTGGCAATAACTGACGAGTTTTCCGACGTTAGCAAAGATGTCGCTCGAAGTTCGACTTCGGATTCTTTCGTCTCGTTGTTGAGCACCATCACTGAAACCCCCGAACTGCCAATTTCTACAGAAAAAACTGAAATTGATTCTTCTGGAAAAACGACTTCCTTGGAAAAGTTTCCAGAAACTTCATCTTCCTCTTTTACGTGGTTTTCTACGAGTGGAACAGAAACGACTGACTTTGATGCGACTTCCGTGTTTTCTGAAAGTCGCACTACGTTGGATAAAATCACCAGTGAAAAGCATTTAGTCACTGATGATTATGTGAGTGAAATGACTGAGGGAATAAGAAGTACCACCGCGGACAATAAGTTTGAAGTTACCTCACCTGGAAGTACCACTGTTACCACCACTGAAGTCACCACTGCTGGTACAACAATAACTGACACTACCACAGCTACCATCAGGGATGATTCTGATTCTACAACAGCAGGAATCCTGACCACAAGCACTGAAGGTTCAACTACTGGAACCACTGCTGTTGCCATTATTACCACAATAGGTGACACTACTACTACTGAGGTTGACTCCATTACCAGCACCAGCACTGAAGACACACCCTTCAAAACTACAATTCTTCCTACCACTACTACTGAGGTCACTGATGCTACAACTACTGAAGTTATTGTTGAAACTACCACTGAAGTCATTGAATCAACCACAAGTGAATCTATTGCTTCTGCAACTGCTGTTGTGACAACCAGCAGTGAGGTCCCTAGTACCACTATGATGGGATTTTCTACAACTGCAGTCATTACTACTTCTACAGAACTCATTACCACAACTGAACCTTCTACTTCCACCACTACTGAAACTCCTACTACTACTGCAACCACCACCACCACCACTGAACCTCCTACTACTGCTGTTCCCACCACCACCACTGAACCTACCACTATTACTACTACTACCCCCACTGAACCTCATCCTACTACTACCACCCCCACTGAACCTCCTACTATTACTACCATTACCACTGAACCTCCTACTACTACTGCCATTACCACTGAACCTCCTCCTCCTACTACTACTACCACCAATGAACGTTCTACTACTACAACAACTGAACCAATCACTACTACTACTACCACTGAGTCTCCTACTACTACTACCACTGAGTCTCCTACTACTACTACCACTGAGTCTCCTTATACTACCACCACTGAGTCTCCTACTACCACCAATGAACCTCCTACTACCACTTCTACTGAACTTCCTACAACTACTATATCCACTGAGCCTGTCACTACTACCATCACTGAGCCTGTCACTACTACCAACACTGATCCTACTGCTATTACAACTAGTACCCCTGAACCTCCTACTACCACTATCACGGATGACTATTCTACTACAAGTACTTTTGCTGAAGTCCTCACTTCCAGCACTGAACTGTCTTTTACCACTACCACCCAAGCCTCAACTACCACTACTGATTTTCCTGTTACCACTACCTTGGAAATGTCTACTGCTGCCACAAGTGAAGTCTCAGACACAACTAGTGAAGTTTCTACAGTGGTTACTCCTGAAGATACCACAAATGCCACCACCATAGCAAGTGCTTATCTTACTGATGACCCCACAGGAAGTTCTGCTGCAACAACTGTACTGCTTACAACTATTCATGAGACAGTCACTGCTACTGTTGATAGTGGCCGCACCACATCAGCTACCTCTTTTGAGTTCAGCACAACAACAGAGCATGTCTTCATACATTCCACACAATCAACAAGTGAAGAAATGACAAGGGAAACTGTTACTGAAGAAGTCACAGGCATGAGTCAAGTTACAACAGAAGTGGAAACTGTGTCAGATGTTGCAGTAACTTCTGTTACAAAATTCACACAAGTACCATCAGTGACACCCACAGAGGAATTCAAGGCAAATGAAACAACTTTGACTGAGCTGCTGGGAAGTGATACAACCACAAGAGCATCTAATTTCATCCAAACAACTCCAGATACAAGTACTTCTCCAAAAATTGAAGAAGTACTGACATCATCAATTGTGACACTGTCCACTACCAGCACCAGTTCTCGCATCACTGATGAAGGTACACATTTTAATGTTGAAATTAGATGAATAATCACAGTACATTTCTTTGGGCAAGTTGAAACAGTGCCATCAGATAAATGAATGAATGAACATAACACTTTATTTGCCGCTTTTCAGCGTTCACAAGGCACAACCAAGACTCCCACATACAAACCCCCTCAGATAATTAAACATAAATTATTGGGGTTGGCTTTTCCCCTTTACACTTCAAATTTGCACCTGCTGAGAAGAATTATTCTTATTTCTCATTCTTTAAAGCTTTTCATCAAGCTCACTTTCTACATTTTTGAAGGCATTCCATTCCAGTTTAGCTTCTTAACTTAATTTTTGCAAAACCAAGAGAAATTTCTTGAATGTCTGCCATAAACAAAACTTTTATGAAAATTTGGTCTGCAAAACTTGTATGAAACTTTGCTTTTGAAATTTGTTGGTCTATATAGGACTTTTTTGAAATTTACTAGCCTTCAAAAATTTTTATCAAGATTTGCTCGTCTTTGGGCTCAAAAAGGTTGGATACCACTGTTTTGAATGATCTATATTTTTTCCTATTTTTATTAAATCTTCAGATGCACAGTTGGATTATGTTATTTCAATGGTGTTAGTGATACAGGCAATACTTGCCTGATTGATTTTGCAAAAAAAGAGCTCAACTTTTAAAAATAATCAAGTGCACATTTTTATTATGAATAATGGCATTTATTGCTTTCATTTCACAGTTTCTTCAGCATTGCCAAGTTCTACTGAAGCATTCACAACCGACTTGACAACCACATCAAAAATCGAGGCAGGCTGTCCAAAAACTTGGTGCATGAATGGAGGGGTTTGTGCGTTTGCTGCTGAGGATTCAATGGAAGATTTCAAGGTGGGTATATAAATGCTTTGAAAAAGTGTCGTTATTTGATCAATTTATGATGGATTTAATAATGGAAACTTATTTGCAGTGCAAGTGCAAACTTGGATTCCTCGGGACGTACTGTCAGCACAAAATCAATGCAACTGTCCCAGCTTTCAAAGAAGATTCGCTGCTCAAATTCAACGTTGGGAGTAGCATTGGAGGAACTCAGGATGTTGAGGTTGATTTTTTTCATTGTTGATATTATTCAAACCATGAAAGAATTTTTATACAGTTGAGCCTCTTTAACGCATGGATGGCAGTGGGTCCTTCCCCATTGCACAGCGGTGCCAGGATTTTTTTTTTCACATGTGCATATTTTGGTATGACCAAAGGCCACTGAAATTCAGCTTTTGCTGATGAGTAGCCAAAGTCCAGAAAAATCCATGAAAGGGAAATGTTCTGAAAATTCCTGAATGCTAATCCTATGGCAGGAATGCAGAAAAAGTGCCACCCAACAGAACCTTTTTTTCCTTTTTTAATAAACATTTTTCTGCAGTAATGCTAAAAAAAGTTGGGATTTTTCCTGAATTTGGCTCATCTAATCATTCTTTTTTCTCATTTTTTGTTCTTTTTGAGGCACAAAATTTTGCAGATAGATAAATTCCAGTAATGCCACCCAAGGGTTAATCAAATTGAACTTCATGGGACCTGCAAAAAATTGATTTATGGAGGTTTTGAGTTGAAAAAGCTTGCATTTTGTTGGGGAAATAGAGATAATTACAGAATTTGATATTCTGTGCCTTAAGATTGCATCTTGAAAAAATTGCCATGATGCTGATTTTAAAGAAAGGGTTCATTTGCCCAATAATTCTTTCAATTCCTTTCAAAACACATTAATCTGCAGTTTTATAACCTTTTTTCTTTCCTGTGTCAATAGAATAATGGCCAAAAGGCGCGCATAAAATTTGATTTTTGGAGGTTTGAGGAGGTAAGCTTTTAAGTTGAGAGGTTTTTAATGCATTTTTCAAAATAAATTCAGAGAGAAACTTTTTAAAAATTGACAAATGGAGGTATTCAAATTAGAAAGCCTGGAGTTACTAAGGTTCAATTGTACTTGAAAGCAAAAATGACTATTGAACCATTTTGAAAGAAGCTAAAATAACCTCAGAAAAACTCTACAGATACTTTTGTATAAAAAAATTTGAAAACTCGATTTAAAGAGGTATTATGGGGAAGCCTCCAAAATGAAGAGGTTTTTCATTCATTGTTTTTGAGGTATTTCAGACAGGGATTTGAAAAAAAAATTCTCTCATCATCAGGATGGTTTTTGACTCATAGAGGTTCAATAAATTTCTCGAGGTTCAACTGTATGTTTAGAGAATTGAAATAATTCGCAGATATTTCTTGGAGTTCACGTCAGATCCAGAGAAGGCAAAATTCTGGAAGCTGGCGACGAAACGTCTTCCATATTGAATCTTTATTTGCGCGATGGAAAGATTTCCTTGGAATTCGCCTGCGCTTCAAACATGGCCGGGGTGCTGAAAGATAATCGGGAAATTTCAGATACTTACCTCGAAATTTGGATCAGGTGAGATTTTGCGTGACTAAAGTTTTTCAGAGACTATATAGATGAGGAGCTGATGGTGTTGCCTTGATTTTCGCAGGTTGGAATTGCATCCTATGAACAAGGCAGATAAAGGACTATGCAAAGCAAGTTTACGAGTGAACGAAACTCAGCCAGCTTCTACAATTCAACAGCGCTCCAACATGACTGACAGGAAGTTGACGCATGTTATTATGGGACAAGGATTTATTGGATGTCTGGCAAGTTTGCAGGTGATCAAATAGTGCTTTCAAATTCAGATTTTTTCAGTTTAGATTATTTAAAATTCCTAACCACAAATAAGACATGCAAATCATTTTATTGACTGGAAAACTGAAATACAGTCAAACCTCTTCAATTCAAACTTCAAGGGACCAGAAAAAATTCAACTTAGTGAGGTTTTGAATTGAGCTACAATACAAAGCCCTTGTTGAGGAAAAGACAAGAGAGGAAACCAATGAAGGTTTCCTCCTCTATCAAAACTGCAAATAATTAGATTTTATGAGTCTCAGTCTGTCCTAAACTCTCAACAACAATAATCTTTTTATTTCTGGTGATTTGTGTGCACAAATCTGTTACTCCTGTACTATTATTCAAATCCGTTTGTGCATTGTATTCTTATTCTTTGCATTCAACTTGATCATAAAATAAATTGTTGAAAAACTAGGAACATATATTCAAGGAGACCCCGTGAATATGTGTTCCCGGCTTTCAAAAGGCTGATTGCCTTGCATTTTTATTTTTATTATTTTCTTATCCTTGATCACAGCCCTTTTGTCTTAGGAAACATAGAAAAATTGCACAAACTTATAAATTTTGATATTCTGAGGCTGAAATTACTTCTCAAATGAGTTGAAAGCATCCTGGACTTGGAGGCAGGGTTCATTTGCCCAATTAAGTCTCTCACCTCCTTTAAAACAAATCAATTTATGTTTTTATTGCTTCTTTTTCCTTGTTTCAAGAAAATAAAAGCCAATGGGCCAAAGAAAATTTGACTTATGGAGGTTTGAGGGGAAAAGCCTTTGACTTAGGGAGGTCAGGTTCACCTGCATATATATCATCCTTAACTGTGTGTGGCAAAGATGGGATATCTTTGAAAAGTTTTGTGCCACTGAGGACTGCTGGGCATTAAAAGAATCCTAATTTTGTCCCAAGGCCAAAGTTATTGGGAAAAAAGTCAGAATTTTTCTTATACAGTAATGTTGATGAAAAAATTACTAGCTCAGTGATAATTTTTCTTGGATTCCTGGCATAGGATTTATGTGGGAGATTCTTGAAAACAATAGAAAGTTTGTCTCCCAGATTTTTTCTGACTTTGGTCTTCTCAACTTGGGAGCATTTCAGTGACCTTGGGTCAAACTGAAATGTACCACCCCCCCCCCCAAATCCTGACTCTGCCATGCAGTGAATCCACTGCTGTCCAAGGGTTAATGGAATCCAGACAGGGACTAATGACTAATTGACTAAGCAAACATCTGCTATAGAGAGATTTAAATCAAACTGCATATGCTGCCAGGGACGATGGTCACCACAACACAAGATGAAGAGAAGCTCTGTGGATCAAAGTTGATTCAGAAGAAACACAAGTACTGCAATCAGCCTGGGGCAAGGGCTGGGAATTCTTGGTAGAATGCATACTTCAAAGTTAAACCATATTTTGAGTAGTGTCACAAAAAATATTGTTTTTATACAGGAATCAATGCAGACAACCAACAGAAACTCTCAGCAAGATCTTGCAAAGACAACATCCATTTTTCAAAACACCTCACAAGTAGCAACAGACTGACTTCTAATTTTGAAATAAAAGGGGTTAGATTAATCATTCTTCCTGTTCTTGATCCAATACCATCATCAAAGAGAAGATGAATTTTAGAGGATTGGGATTGGCCAGTAAGTTGAAGTCATAGGCCAGAAGAGCATGCAATTTTGAAAAGCAGGGTAGAGTTGCTGCCAGTCTCACCAAAGTTTTTACTTATGTGGTTATTTCACCTAATTTTCTCTACCTTGATAATAACAAGATGCACATCAGCAAGTCCCCAAAAATACTGTGGTAGAATATAGAAATTGTGTGATACTGATGGAAATTATGAAGATATTCTTGCATGTTTCAAAAACCTTGCTCAGGTGAACAACCAAGAAATAATGCTGTCTAGTGAAGCTGTGGATGGGGCAGGAATTGAAGAATGTGGACAAGGAGAAACCCCAGATCTTCTCATGAGCTGTCCATTCAATCCTTGTCTGAATGGTGGAACCTGTGTTCGTTTGTCTTTTGATTCCTGGAACTGTGTATGCATGAAAGGGTGAGCTGATAATATTCAGGTTTCTTTACATTCAAATATCTTTATTTTTATACTTTTTTTTAAATCAGGTTTGAGGGAGATTTGTGCGAAAGGCGAACCTGTTTGGAAAGCCCCTGCGGCAAAAATTCTTCCTGCCTTGAAGTTGGTGACTTGAGTCCATTTCAAGAACCGTTTTGCATTTGTCATCACGGATTCAGCGGCCCACTGTGTAACAAATGTATGTTACTTCTTTAGTCCTCATACGAGGGTTCTAAGAAAAGTTCTCGGAATATAAATTAAAATGGCGCACAACCAAGCTGAAAAAAAATTTATTCTTCAGGGAAAACATATTATTTGGCACCAAAAAATAGTCTGCCCGCTGTTTGACAATTTTTGTGGAATGTTTTGCAAAACTCTGCCATGTGAATTTTGCAAAACATTAAAAAAAAATTCAAACAGCGCTGATTGTTATTTTTTTTAAACCAAATAATATGTTTTCCCTAAAGCATAATTTTTTTTCAGCTCGATTGTGCACCATTTAAATTTCTATTCCGAGAACTTTTGTTAGAGCTCTCGTACATTCTTCAGGTTGAATTTAAATACTGTACACTTGTACAGTGAAACCTTATTGAGCAAAAATGCAAAGGACCAGCAAAGAGAATAAGGAATTTTTTAATATAGGAAACTAGCATGTTTTGCTGGCGAAAGGAATTCAGAGAGCTGTAAGTTGACATTGGTGCTCTTCTGGGCATTCAACAGCTGGGTAAATGATTTTACAGTATGCTGAACTTGAAGACAAGGGTGATCCTACTGAAAAACATCATGTTGACATTTTCATGGTGTTTCTCTTTCCTGGATCCCATCAATAATAGTCCAAAAGAACTAAAAAAAATTAAAGGGTACAGAGGTTTGAGATGTAAAGTTGCCAAGTTATTGGGGAGATCTAGAATACATAACTCCTGCAGCATAAATACATTAGTTTGTGCATCCCCAGAGCACCTTCTCTTTTTATGTCCAGAATTTCATACTGATAGAAATGAGCTTAAGAAAGATTTACAAGTATGAAGATGAAGATTCAATGAAGAGACCCTTTCTGAAATCTGAAAGGATCGAGATAAACAGTTGGCCTTATATGATTTCTCATCAAAGATTCTCTCTAAATTGTTTATTCAACTAAACCTCATACAAAAACAAGCTGAAGACCTTGTGCTCTAAAGTAATTATTACCTATATTTTGTTTTCAATGTCAGGGAAGGAATGGGTGGATGCATACATGTCAGATGTCCAGTTGTTATTTGTGCTCTGCTTCCTTCTCTGGAGTGATTAAATGTCTTAGAGTTGATTTGGTTAGGCGGGGAGGGGGTTTGGATGTGGAAATCTTGATTGAACCTTGTGAATGCTGAAAAGCGGCAAATAAAGTGTTTTGTTCATTCATTCATTAGAATACATTGTCCTTGAGGGAAATCAGGCAGGGATTTTCAAAAAAAATTTCAGCAGATTAGAACCCTTTCTGATCTTTTCTACACTCATTCTTGAAGAAAAAATATTGCAATCATCGCATTGTTTCACTGAGACTTGCTTTATTGTAAATTAAGTATTTGTTTTTTTTTATCTGCAGTGCTTGGAGCAGTTACTGAGCCGTTTTTCTACGGAACATTCAACGGATATTCCTCCTACTTGGCCTATCTGACACCTCCAGCACTGGAAAGGCGAATGGAACTCAGGTTTCACTTTGCCACTGAGAATTTGAGGCAACGATCTATTTTGTTCTACGTTGGACAGCAGTTCCCCAGGAGGGCCATCCCGCATTTCGATTTCCTTTCTGTGGGACTGCGGAATGGGTACCTGGTTATTTTCTGGAACTTGGGCTTGGGTAAGCTTTGGTATAACTGCATTCAAATATTCTTGAACAGCTCTTATTTTCAAGAAGATAGCAATTGAATGCAGTAATGATTTTTTGGCCCAAGATTCTTTTAATATATTGTGGCACGGTTATTTATTTGCTGCTCTTGACAAATAAATATAGAAGTGAGTATAAATAGTCTGATCGAGGAAAAAGTTGAAATTAAGTTCTTCCAAGCAGGTGTTCACGTGGTTCTGAGTTCAAGAAAAAACTGGAGAGGTTTAAAGGCTTACATTTTACATAAAATATTTTTTGCGAATGAAATTAATTTTTTATGGTTGATATCAGGGTTATTATAAGGTTTCTTTTTTCCACAGTGGCTAAAGATTTTCTCCGTATCTCCGAAATTTCAACAAAACACAAGCTTGCATTATTCCATGATGGACAATTCAGATTTTTTAGACTTTTTACATATATTTTTCCTCGATTTTTTTTCCTGCGATTTCGAAAACTACAGGGATTTCCGAGGTCATTTCGCCGAGTCCACTCGACCCAAACTTGGCCTTGCATACACTGAAAGTCACACGAATCGGAAATGTGGCCTGGGTCAAGGTCGACACCCAGCCCACTGTTGGAGGAATTTCTCCTCCATTTTTGGAAGATTTGAATGTGCATTCTTTGCTGTATGTTGGTGAGCATTGATTTGTATTCTTGCATTACTCTAGTGAGTGATATTTTATATGCTAAAAAAAACATCGTTGACTTTTTTGCTGTTCATCGAGAACTGAAAAATGTAAAAATGTTATTGAAAATTTTGGGAAGAAATTTGAGCGATGTTTGTTAATCATAAAATGAAGGTACTTTTCGAAGTACTTTTTTTGCAAGGTCCCGTCTCTCTTTGTATGATGCAAATTTCATAACTTCTTGATATATACAGGTAGACCTTTTAAAGTCAAACTTCAAGGTACCAACCAACAAATTTCAGTGTGGGAAACAACCACTTGTGTTTGGGACAAAGAAAGACAAATTACAGGTATTTAAATACTATTTAAATTTTGATTGGTGATATTCCAGGCCGTGAATCGATTTTTAACCCTTGGGCAGCATTGCTGGGATTTATCTGCAAAATTTTGTGTCACAAGGAGTAAAAAAAAAAGAGAAAACAAGAATGATTAGAAGAGCAAAATTCAGGAAAAATCCCAACTTTTTTTTAGCATTCCTGCAGAAAAATTGTCATTAAAAAAGGAAAAAAGTGTCTGTTGGGTGGCATTTTTTCGGCATTCCTGTCATAGGATTAGCACTGAGGGGTTATCAGAACAATGCCTTTTTGCGGGATTTTTTTCAACTTATTTGACTACTCAGCCAAAGCTGCATTTTGGTGACCTTTGATCAAACCAAAATGCCAAAGCGGCAACAAATCTCAGCACCACTGCAAAATCCAAAAGAACCAAAGAGATAAATGAGTTGACAGGATGCTGAACTTAAAGGCAAGGGTTTATTTGCTCAATTATTCTTTCACTTCTTTTCAGGACACGTCAAGTTACACTGTGATCAATTTTCTCTTTACTGCAGCAATAAAATAGTAGCCAAAAGACCTCCAGAAATTTGAGTTATTAAGGTTTTAGAGGAGAAGCTCTTGAGTTGTGTTGGTTTTTAATGCATTGTTTCTAAGGGACTTCAGACAGGAATTTGAAAACATTTGAAAGAGGGAAGTATTTGTTAGGTAGGTTTGAGTTATTGATGGTATACTGTAAGGAGCATTTTCACTTTTTTTAATTTTTATTCTGCTGAATAATCCCACACTTAGATTGAGAAATGCCTTGGATTTACTTCATAATGCAACAGTACCTTTTTGCCTTTTCCCCATTTGCTGGAAATGTTATCCATCATTTTTTTTTCAGGTGGACACTGGTCCTACAATCATTCGATGTTGCCCGAGATTCTGCAGAGTTACTCTGGGTTCAGAGGCTGCATTTTGGATCTCCAACTGAGACCCTCTGACCAGAGCATTTTTCTTGGACCCGTGAGAACCCTTGGTGGGCGAAACGTGGCCCAGTGTTCCAGAGACGCTCATTCCAGGAGGCCTTGTCCTTATTGTCAAAATGGAGGAACTTGTCAGTTCATTGGCTCATCTGTAAAGTGAGTAAAACTGTCCCCCAAAGATACAAGGGTTGGTTCATAAGCTTTGCAATGTTTTGTTGCACCTCTGTAAGTTGAGTTTCTATGGACCATGAAAAAAATTTGACTTGGGGAGTTTTTCCTTTTTGGAGGTTTTCAGTTGAGGAAACAAACACTTTTGTTGTGAGGAGAAGTGAAATAAATGTGGGAAATCATAAATGAGGACATTCTGGGCATAATCTTGCTCCTTAATGAGTTTACACCTCTTGCTGAACTTGAAGGCAGGGGTTCATTTGCTATATTAGTCTTTCACTTCCTTCCAAGATGCATCAAATTATTTGTTTTTATCATTTTTTCTTTCATATTTTAAGGAAAGAATCATCAAAAGGCCTTATAAAATTTGACTTACAGAGGTGTTTGAGAAAAATACTTTGAGTTAGGGAGGTTTTTAATGTATTGGTTTTAAGGGAATTCAGACAGGGGCTTGAAAAAAAATTAAAGTTAGGGAGGAATTTGACTTGGGGAGGTTTGACTTATTGAGGTTCACCTGTAGATCCAATGGAGTTTCAACACCATATTTTTAAAACTTCTATTGCCATCATTTGGCAAAATTTCACTGCTGTTCAACATACTCTCTGCAGATTTCAATGCATTTGCTTCATGTCATGAATCCCATGCTTAAAACAGTGCCAAAAATTAATCTCTGTGACTTGATTGAGGTGGGTTTTTTTTTAGCAGAAATTAAGTTGTCCCTGTCCTTAAAATAATTCTTTTTGAGGCCATTCTTCACTGTTGGGAGCAACCAAATAACCCACAGAATTCGATTTTTGACACTGTTTTGATCCTTCGATTTATTGCATGAAAAAATGCATTAAAAACTGTGGAGAGTATGTTGAAGAGCACTGAAGTGTTGCCAAATGATGCGGCTATGCGAGTAGAATTTTTTTAAGTATTGAAACTCAGTTGGATCTGTTTCAAAAGCTATCACAACTTGTGAACCAAACCTCTTATGATAATTAACGTTGGAATAAATTAGGTGAAAATGCTGAGTCTATTTTCTGGAACGCGGTGAAGAGAAAGCATGATTGATAATATATACGCTAATTTTTATTTTTCAGATGCATTTGCCGCCGAAATTTCCGAGGCATGCAGTGCGAAAAGACCCTGAATCCCACTGGAACATCGTCAAATGCCGTAGCGATTTTGAATTGATTTTCCCCCTTGCAAATTCGAGCAAGTAATGTGATATTGTGCCTGCAGCATTTACATTCCAAGTGAATTTAGCATTAGAGGCGGTTTTTTTTTTTTGCATTTGAAGGACCTCTTTCGGAAAAAGGGGTAAAAATCGAACATTTCAGTATTGTCGCGGACTCCTGCCTGTTTCAAATGAGCTTTCAAATTTTTGGTCATCAACCTCAACCGACGTGCAATAATATAGAATTGATATTCGCTGGAAGATGAAAAGAGTTCATTCAATATTTATTCATTTCGCATGTTTGTCTCAGTGCTGCTGTTGATTTATAATCGGTGGACAAATTTGATTGTGTTGTTGGAGCATTGAAAGTGGCTTCACTCTTGTAGCAAATACTTTAACGGGTATATTAAATTTGATACGCTAGCTTTCAGAGGATCCGAATCCTCCAGCAATTTAGTCCCTCATTCTATCAGTGTGGGAATCTTGGAAGACCTTGGTCCCCACAGATGGTCAGCAGCCTTCAAGGCTGTAATTTATTACAGATGTTTTGGCAGCCTCCAAGGCTGTATTTTATTGCCGATTTCCCATTGCTGCTCTTTGTCCTTGAAGGACAGTTTTCCTGTTTTCCAAGTTTGACCATTTTTGACACAGTATGAATCAATCTTTCATTCAAGAACGTTCTCCGAGATTTTGCAAGTTTGTCGTGATTCAAAAAATTATACCAACCTTAAAATAGGGTGTTTTGCACCCTGGTTGTAGCCCGACCGAATTCTTGTGTTTTATTTCAAGTCTGGTTTTCTCACTTTCATTCTAAAACTCATTGGAAGAGAAACAGCCCTAAATAAGGGTTGTTGAGATGAGGGTAGCTAAATCACTTTCTTAACGATGTAAACGACCCTTCCCTCGAGTTGAAAGTGAAGTGCTGCACGCTGTAGACACATACGCAGGAAAAACCAAAATATAACCATCAATTCTGATTAATTCCCGCGTGCGTTCAGTGGAAAACTTTGAATTTACGATCTCTTGCTCTGCAATTTTTTTTCCTTCGAGAAATCATTGAGAAATTATTCAAAGTGTTTTTTTCCGTGCTGATAATTAAGATTCAAGGAAGATTGCAACGTACAGTACTCATGTACAGGTACGAGCCCAATAAGGTCGGCAATAGTCGAGTGAATATTTCAAGCACTCGGCAGTTCTGGTAAATTACAGAAAACGAGGGCAGGTTTCTTTGCGGCAGTTACTTATTAAACGCCTTTGACTTTGCTCAACGCGTCTTTCAAGCTAACTAACATGACATATATATCCCAAGAAGCAGCACAGGGCCTAGCTCACGCACGCTTAATACGTACTATTTTCGATCGAGCCCGCGCGGAAACCCGTATACTGTTACCCCCACGGGTTTCCTGCTGCTGCTGCTGTGTCCGTGTGTGCTGGGTTCTCCTATGGTCTCTGTTGGACTCATTTGAGCGATTCGCCATTCCCTGGCAGACGGGCCTGCTGAAATCTTTTTCTCTAGTTTAGCGATGATTGTATTTTTGAATTTTTTTTAAAGATTAAGGTCAATGATGCTTAGAAAATTTTGAGTGTTGTTAATTGGTTTTTTTTTTTTAGACCGGTGAGATCATGTTTTGCTGAGACAATTTTTCTACCCGCCAATCTGTCGAAAAAATTATATATCCAGTGTTGCGTTGGTATTTTGTTGATCAGTGCAAAATAAAAATTTGCAAAGAACCTCAGTTGTTGTTTTTCGTGCCATTTTTTGGTTGTGAATTTTTTTTGAGAAGACTCAGTTAAAGTGTTTTAAACCACGTTGTGCAAATTCATGATATTTCCGCGGAATTCATGCACCTGTTTGAAAAAACTTTGAAAAATTCCTCATCAGACTTACTTTTATGACATATACGAAAACTCACTAAACACAAGTTCCCTTTTAATAACAAACTTGTTTCAAGTCAAATTGGGTACCTGTCGTTTCCCAAGAAAGAACAACACACCACCTCACCCCTAATAAAAACGGGTTGCACATGTCAGTACGACCCAAAGTCACTGAAATGCTCCCAGGTTGAGAAGGTCTAGGTTGGGAAAAAGCTGGTAGGCAAATTTTCTAATAATTACAGGATTTTCCCATGCAAATCATATGCCAGAAATGCAGGGAAAATGCCACCCTGTGAGGGTGATTTTTTTAATTCAAAATTGTCTGCAGGATTTAAAAAAAATATTGCACTGTTTCCCAACTTAGGCCTTAATTGGTACAAAATTAGAATTTTTTATTTATTTTCAGTGCTCAGTGTGGTACAAAATTTTTTGAAAATATTCTGACTTTGCTGCAAAAGGGTTAATTTTGATGGATAACAAAAAAAGAAAGATGGCATTTATTTTAAAACATGGCTTATTTTCATGTTTATATTTTGAAATTGATTCCTAAGCACAAGTTTAGGTGAGGATTTGTTCTTTGATTGAAACTATAATTGCACTACATTTCAAAATATGCCAATATTTTGAAATAATTAATTTTTGGATTTTTTTGAGTTCTTGTTTTTACGCTGAAAATGCAATTCAAATTTGGATGTGGATGATTTTTGACTTAAAGATGATAATAAAAACGAAATGATTGGTCTTTTTTCGAACTTGAAATTATAGAATTCTGCAGCTTCAATCTTCCAAAAGATATACCTCAAGTCCGATTCGAAATAATCCCACTTCTGACATAGATTATTCAGTGTAAATTATTTGGAGATATTCTGTTGAAGAATTTGATTTTAAAATCAAGGATCCCCTTTATGGGAATATTTATACTGGTTATTCTCCAGTTAATGAAGGGTAAACAGCTGTACAAGTATTTAAATACGAATATTGTACCTAAAACCTGGACTCAAAGAGTTAAAATCTAAGATTGATTTTCGATTCAATAACATATGAAGCAAAATGTATTTCAAGCTTTCAAGAATTTTAAGATCACGTAAACGTTTCTTTCGTTGTTTTTTAAAAGTATGCCATGCTGGAGTTCTATCATTCTGTGCCAAAATATGAAAATTGGATGAAATATATTTCCGTTTGAAAACTTCCTCGTGCGTGTTTTTCTCTTCTATTTGAGCATTTTCTCTTTATTTTCAGTTTTTCAGGTATATTTGGGAAATACTACATCAAGATAGTTTGAAGGCGGAATTTTGGATTAACCATCGCATTGTGTGAAAATATTTCTTGCGTTGCTTAAGAAAAAAACATGGTGAGTTTTTCCAAAAATATTGGGACTGTCTGCGACGCATTCTACATGTTTTTCATTTATGTATCATTTACATCGTTTCATTGGTGTTTACATTGAAGACGTTAATCATGAAAATTTTCAGCGAATGAAAACTGATGTTCATTCGGGTTTTTTTTTTGTGTTTCTTTTTCTCACCCTTTGGAATGCCTCTTGCAAACCCTGTAGCAACCCTGGTCAGCCGTGATGACGTATAGTTTCCTGTAGTGGACCTGAACAAAGGAAATTTACCTGGTCGTAATCATGACTAAGGGGGTGAGGAAAAATAACCTGCATGCATGTTGTAATTCGTGTATGCTCTTCAACACCCTGGCCCATTTTAATTTTTGGCCAGAAATGAGCAAAATTTAAGCTAATTAATTTTTGAAAAAATTTATTTTGATACTGATTTTTCACCAAATTTTACAAACAAGTGTAATATTTATAAGAAGACTTGACCCAACCCTCTGATTTTGAATATTCTTCACCACTGAATACAAATTAGATTCATTTCTCATTTTATATTTGTGGCAATCCCCAGTCAGTCTCCCTATAATAAAAAGTTTTTTTCAGTGAGACAGAACTTGTTGGAAACTTTGGAAAATTTCCATGAGACCGATATTATTATGAATATAAATAAATTAGAGTAGCTATCATGACAAAAAATATTCTTGAAAAATAGTGCATCATTTCTTTAAAAAATAATTTTTAAGGCTCTTGCAGATCAGCCACAATTTACAGCATTGGCAAGGAAATCACTGGAAACAAATTAGAGTGGTGTTTGGCATACCTAGGTTAAACTTGATTATATAATTTTTGGAATAAGATTGTATTAATATTTTAAATTTTTAGCTTTCCATACATGTAGATTACTTTAAATTTTTTTGGTTCTGCGGAGGCAACTAAGTACAGTATTATAAATTTCCTTCATGTGTTACAAAGTTTTCCTTGATTTTGAAATGAATTCCAAAATGTATAAACTTGAAAATTTTTTAAATGCTTCCTTTCTCCCTTCAGAGAAATTCATTGTATGAAACAAGTTAGAGAGGTTCTCATTTAAGGAGGTTCAACTGCATTCTTTTCAATTTTAGGAATACTATTGAATTAAGACTAGGAACTTATTGTAGCTCTCCAATTCATGAAATTCACATTTTTTTGCTCATTATATGCTACAATTCAGCATTTCCTTTCTGGTTTAGAAGGCTTTTCTTCATTTTTGGACATGAATCAAAATTTCAAACAGAAAATGTGCAGAATTGCATTCTTTTCTTCCTCTGGAAGAGATATGTATTTTGTGATGAGACAATTTTATTGTACTCACCTGACTTGGTGAGCCTGAATCCTCTGATGTAAAGGAGAATTTCACAGCATTTTACAAATTTTTTTTTCAATTTATATTAAAATTTCCTGAACTTTATGTAATACCCCTCACATTGCACCAGGGAAGCTGATTCATTGTAGCACATGTGAAGCCAGTGGGCTTGAATGAATTATCCATGCATAGTTTCCACCCCTCACACAGGCTTTTTTGTTGTTCATTCCCTGTCATTCCTGATCAATTGATTCCTGTTGCACAAGGCACTAAAAAACGCTGCCTTTCCTATATTCCCCAAACATTATTGGCTTTCTATGTTTTCCTGACGCATTCCTGCTTTCATATATGATGCTTATGGTATCGATTTCATTCCCTGAGCCAAATTACGCTTTCATTCGCAATTCAGGTTGAGTTACGTTTCGAAAATTAGCATATGCTACAATAATATGCATGATTAAAGA